CTTCAGTTCTCGGTCCGACAAGGTCGTGTGCACGTCTAACCGCTACCACACGGCAGTCATCAGTGAATAAAAAGATAATTTCAAAGTGTATTCAGAGCGTTTCTAAGAATTATGGCAGCTAGTCGGTCCGGTGTCAATGCATAAAAAGGACGAAGCGATAGGTCATCATGGTCGTATCAGTAGGGAACGGAGCAGACGGTAACGGAGGCATACGACATAGGATATACTTTAGCCGTCTGAGCTTTTGACCGAGCGTAACACGTTTTGGACATCCCGGCTGGCGTAACTGCCACGTAGTCCAGCTGTTGCACAACTCGGCGAAGCGCTGGACGACTTCTCCTATGGTAGGCCGCAGGTTAGGGTCCCATCGGATCATATCGTCACTAAGAGAAGATAAGAACTTTAGAGGAGGGAAAGTGCCCTATGTATTGACCAGTTTAGAACTGAACGACTCTTGAGTGGGACGATTGACCACAGAGAAGGTCCTTTTCAACATACTACCCAATAATACACGTCTGTTGGGAAAGGATTATAAGCTATCAACCCAAGGAGGGTTGACAGTGATGATCGAATGCTCTGGCGGGTGCTTGTCGCCACCCCTAATTGGAGGTTCCATCGGCGGCTCATTGGAAGGATCGTATTGACGTGATATGCCAAAGTTGATAATATAATACCGTGGCCAACATTGAGTCCGAGTAATATGTTTTGCCTTTCTTAAACTAGAGTGGTCGGGCGCTAACCATGGACTGACGGGACTGAATCCCTCAGGAAACAAATTGCTTGGATCCAGCATAATGTTCATCAAAGTGCAATCACTGAAAGTTCACTGGGTATGATCATCACAGACGATGAACGCAAGGAGTCCATACCGATGAGCGACATAATGCTTGTGCATAAATTCTATTCCCTGTAGAAGTTTATATCATGAAATGCACATAAACACAACACGAAAAAGGTCGAACCTCGAATATTTGACGAAAACACTCTAGAAATTCCCCAACAGTATCGAAAGAAGGACTATCAAAAGGATACAGTCGTGGCATGACAATGATTTCGATATCATTGTCCAGTGGCGACTGCAGTGTATCGTAGATCGGAACACAGTGGTTCTTTGGATCACTGTCCAACGGCGCAGAGGATAAAAACTTGCCCATCGAGACTTCGTGAGGGTGCCTTGACTTGGAGATGGCTTTGAGTGTGAGTAGACATCCATCGGACGCGCACTTTGCATCCATGATCGCGTCATGCTGTCATGTAGTGAGAAGACAGCCACAAAGGTTATAATTTAACAAATACCGCGTAAGGAGTGTAGTCCTCGCTACATATCATATCTCCCCTCGTCTTCCATTGTGGTGGCTTCGATCCGGGCTCGTACTTTGCTCGAAGGTTGTATATCCGGATTCAGCCAGAAAGGGCTGAATCCTGATGCGAAGTCCAGAAAATCTCGCCTTTTGTAGCAGAGCGTGGTTCAAACTCTGGAGGCAGTAAGTCCCACCACATTGAAGTACGGATTTGCTGTGGAGGTAAGATACCAAGAACTTACATGCATGGTCCGCGTGTTGTCCAGCAGAGCGCTTGTGGGGGTTCGAATTTTGAAATCCCGGCTGGTACTGAGTGGATGTCGACGGCTTGCAGACCACGTGCAAGCGCGTAACGGCGCTTGCTGATCGACTTCCATTTAGCGTCCCTCTTGCATGCCGTCATCCTTCTGATCCCGCAGCTCGTTCGCTCTCATCTCCCTCGCGATTTATACGATTATTACGATTATGTCCTGGAAGACAATTACAAAGCACTAGACGGGTTACATGTTCTCTCTGTGCTTCGTATGGATGGGAGAAGACCAGGTGCTTCCACGGATACATGAAGACGCTCAAAATCTTCTCGTGAAAGGCGAATAATCTGTGACTACCTACAGAATTCATCCTACCAAGGGTCTTGAGTGTGAGACGGTGTGCTTTCTCCATGCCTGGTGCTCTTCTCGTATGACGAACGCCATTAGCGAGCGCCGAGGATACATTGTCGGCTGAACGGTGCCGAGGTGAAGCTCGTCGGTGGCTCCCCAAGTATCGGGAGAATCTTTGAAGATACTGATGTATTCCATTCCGCGTGAAAAAGCCGAATTCAAGGTGAGAATGTGATCAGATAGGGAGCCAATAAGCTAATAAACATAGAGCAGCCACCAGCACAATCATCTAGTCATCGTTGCCTCCTTCGGACGTAACCTCCTGTCTGTTTTTCTGGATCTATTTGCTCCGACGAGGAGACTGAACGTCCACCCGTTCCTTCCCCCGAGATACCACGGGCGAGCGCCTATGCTACACGCGATTTCGTTGAGACTCGCGTTTCCATCTTTAGCATGTTTAAGAAGCGGACTAGATGCTAGTGACGTGTGGAGGTCCGACGAGATGGTGTGAGTATAATGTTTGCCAGTTTTCGTTTTTGATGCCGACTGTACAAGTCATTGCACCATACACGACGTACCCCGATGGACAAAACTCGCTAGCCCTGCAGAGAAACAAATTGCTGGTATCCGTACTACGGGATATGGCCGTGAGTTTTTCTCTCAGATAGTATGTTCGGCCTACTAATCATGTGTCTTAGGCAGAAGCATCTGCAAAAACAGGTATCTCATGTGCTGCTGATCACGTACAATGATCCTATCATGTGTTTTACTACCGCGTTTGTCGAGTCCATCGTTCGACAGTATTGAGCTATCGGAAATAAGGTATAATTCTTGTCAAACTCAGTGCTATCTTCATCTGATTTTGACCCTGTAGCGTTTCATCACCACACAACCTCATTTCTCCATCGGTAAAGGCATTGAACCCGAGGTGTCGTATCTTTACCACTCCAACGTGGTTCCAGTTCTATGTAGATGAACTCAAATTGTTAAAATAATTGGATGCCGACTTCAAATAAGTTTATTCTTCGCTGGATGCGGCGAGATGGCTCGACCTGACTCAGTAGAGACTATCGCTATGCTCGAGACGAATGCTGAGGATTGCGTTTGCGAGGAACAGGGAAGCGCTCAAGGCACCTGACAATTACTGCTAAAATATGACGGGCCCCATGACTGCTAATCTCAATTTTCCACAGATACCGCAGCGGTGTACACCACCCACTCTCCCGACGTATCTGCTGGGATTGCGGCCTTTCATAACGAACTTATACCCAGTTTCCAAGCTGAGGTTCCCGATCCAAACGAAACAAGCCGCTCCTTATGGTATAGCCTTGACAAGCTCGGGAGAACGAAGACCTCGCATAAGCACAGAGAATTCGAGCTGTGACTTGCGATACCTTGTGAGAAATCGCTTTTCGTTTCACACTCCCTCGACTGCATATCCTTCTGAGCCTAGAAATCGGGAAATAGTACGTATCATTAATCTCTCTCGTTTCGAGTACTCATTACGATGATATTAGGAGTGTCCAAGGTCTTAAAACAGTTGCTTTGCGGCGGCGTGATGGATATCGATGATGAATGGAAGTCGCTTGCCATACAAACAGAGGAGAAGGCAAGATATATAAGATATCTCCGTGATGTCTCTCTTCCTGAAGTCACTATTTCTGCCTTCACTGAGACGGGCCAAGAGGAATCGTCGATCATCGTTCCATTGCAACGTAGAGTGATATCATCCCGCCTTGCCGACACTCCCTGCGCTACCCTCGGTGTTTGGGGCCTCTTGGATCAACTCAACACCACCCTCGGAACGTCACACACCCTGGACACTCCATCCCTCTCCTCCCTTCTTGAAGATTGCATCACAAATGACTACGACTTTGGCATGGCATATGGCTGCCTCCGCAGGATATGGGACACCGACAACTGGAGTACTATACGAGACACATTTCGCAGATGGGAAAAACAAGACCGGGAATTGCGGCGAAAAGCGCTTGATGGTAACCGGATCGTCAAACCGTATTTGCCACCTCGACGTGTTTGGGATCTATATAGTAATCGGGTTGTTCCATGGTGGTGCACGGGCATGGAGCGCCATTTTCGGCCAATATCGCATGCGTGGATGGACGCTGAGGACCGTGTCGATGTGCGGACCCCCATCAACGGATACGAATGGCCCGTTCCCATCCCGAAAGACAGCAACCTCAGCCTTATCCGCATTGAGATGCTCAATTTTATAGAGGAGTACGCGTGGTTGGATGTCCTCTGTTTGAGACAGGTGGGTGGACCGCGGGAGGATACGCGCGCGGAAAAGTGGAAGCTGGATGTGCCCACCATTGGAGCAGTATATGATGGGAGATGTGTGGTGTATTACTTTAGCGGGCTGGGTCGGCCTTTGAGTTTGAAGGAAGGTGACTTGGAGAGTGATCGGTGTTGGTTTAGACGTGCATGGACACTACAGGAGACTCAGATTGGAGTCAGGCTAATTGGTGGTGACACACCAGATGGACCACTGCATGCCGAACCGATAGATGAGGATAGGAACTATGAGACTGAGTTGCTGACTGAATTTCACAAGCGGCTGGAGTCTATATACAGCATAGAGCGGGCTGTCCAGGTCCTTTTGCCATTGAAGGAAATGCAGAATCGGGTGTCGACCAACCCAGTGGACAAAGTCGCGGGACTGGCATTTTGTCTGGGCTCGGGTCTAATGTCCAAGTTGTCGTCGATACCAGCATACTATGAGAGCCAGTCTGTCGAGGAGGCATGGACAGCATTTGTGTATGATTCGATGACTGCGTGGTTACGGGCTCGGTTGTTCATCTCATATCCTGAACCAGGAGACGCAGGCAGAAAATGGAGACCATCGTGGAACCAGGTTATGACGAGGCCTTTGCCTGAGTTTGCTTGGTTCGACATCTACATCGATCACGAGGAGATAGATGCCAAAGACTCATGTTATGCGGAGTGCATTGAAAAGGGGTTGGTGCGGGGGTTGGCTGTTGTGGAAGGAAGTGATCGACATGGAGTGTTGATTGTTAAAGGCAAGGATGGGATAGAATTTGAATTCAAGATCACGGCCGACCACATCTACCCAATACCTGACAACACGTACACACTAATTTCTGCGGACACGTTATTCCGATCTCGCCATTGGGTTATTGGGCGAACACTACCAGGGAAAAGGTTTGAGAAAGTATCGGTGCTGCAAATTTCCGATAAAGAAGAACAGAGGAGGTTAGAGGATCTGTATATTACTACAAAGTGTCGATATATTCTTGTTTGAGTGACGCATTGCGTAGTAGTTCTTAACTCAAGTAGCTATCATGCCTATCTGGAGGGTGGTGAAGTTCACTGCTCTCGCGAGGAGCTTATGCAGTCTCTGTCAGGTATAAAGGCCGGTCGATTGCAAAAACCCGAGCTATTTTACAAAGTACTAATAGTTCTTTATACATTCATTCAATTTCATTGAAAATTAAAGAAGAGAGGAACTGGGAAAAGGATAAGGACTAGCATGAAATTATCTTGGTGAGAAGAGTCAGCTCAACATCGTAAGAGGTGGAACGTCCTACCATAGCATCAAGTTATTTGTTCTCGACAGTTTTGGCCGCAATTTCTGCCAGAAAGTAGTCGTGTAGCCGGTGAGTGGGAAGATGACTCTCAGATTCATCGTCTCTTGGTTGAAATGCTCGACCCATCATCTGGATTCTGCAGGACATTCATGACGAGATACGTACTCAACGTATCGATGCTCCCCCCTTCGTAGTGCTGCACACCCGTGATGATGCCTATATGCAGCCATCAACGAGAATCGACTATGCTGTATCCTACGAAAGCACTTGAGCAGCTCCACTTTCGAAGAGACGCTAGACGATTCGCTTGTCCTCCTTACTATCCATGGCCTCGCGAAGATAATAAAAATCCTGCTTCAATGTCTCCTTAAATCCTTCGTTCCGCAAATGATCAAGATAAACCTGTATGTCTGCGACTTCGACAACAAGGAACCGGTCTGGCTTGTCATTCGCAGCGCTGTAGATAAGCAGGACGTCAACAGTGAGGTGGTATTTTCCGTGAGGGAACAAAGACGGTGGGAGGTTTTGTGGGTGTATATCTGATGATGGCTGATTTCGACATCGTCATCCTGATAATCCACACCAACGACCGTGCGAGTAAACCTGGCGAGCGAAGCATTTGCATGCAACTGAAATTGGATTAGTCAATAGAAGATACGTCTGAGATAGAGAATAGCCTTACAGATAGACGTATCCCGGAGCCTCATCAGGATTTGGGATCGAGCCCAAGTCAGTTTCCGCGTTGAGATATCCCGGAAGGTATTTCGAACGAGTAGAAGATCCTGGTTGGGATTGACCTTTGTTCTTGATATGAGTTCCAATGCGATGGGGAGCGTGAGGAAGGTTCGGACGACTGAAGTGGGGAGGGAAGTGCTTGATACGATGATGTTCGATTATCTGTTGCTTCATCATTTGGAAGTCACCCGTAAGCTCGCCGACTGTGACACCAGACACTTTTAAGGCTAGCGGGGAAGTTGCCGACCATCTCTCGGACTAGTGGGAACAACATAGACGATTTCGCGTCAAGGTTGAAAGTACCGGTGGCCTCGTCACGATACTTTTGGGTGGCTCGTTCAGAATTGGATCTAAGGATGAAGGGACAGTCAGTGACTGAACCAGGATGCGCTCTGGAAAGCATGCCTTTCCAGCGCCAGTAGGGATGCCCCTCGATATGAAGGATTTTAAAGATTCACCACCAGTGATGAGTACCTCTTCGCTAAGTGCAGTCTCGCGGCCCTCTCCCTCGCGGTCCTCGTCCGACCATCTCTGAACCCAATACCTTCTTCATCCTCTTCCTTTTGTCCCTCTTCATCGAAACTTTGCATCACCGACTCGTCGTCAATCTCTGCATCCTTCCGCTCCGCATCGGCTTCACCCTCAGCACCATAGTCCGTAATCTCCGGAAGACTGACGAGTTCTTCACCAGTTATATTGCCTATTGGTGGTTTTCCGCCTTCTTTTTCGTCCTTAGGCATTCCCGGACGACACGAGAACCCATGTCTTGTGGATCAATGGGGCCAGTCAACAAAGTAGGTGCACCATCTGGTTCTCGGTCTCTGAGAGGGGTCTGTAGTAAGAACTAGAGAGGGAGTAGCACCATGACTGTATTGAAAAAGAGCCGGGTGTGACTCTTTCAAGGTGGTGTCTCACGTATGCGTTGATTACTCTGTGCTCTGAATATCCTCTAAAACAATCCTTGGATATCGCGCGTCTGGCCAGAGATCGTAATGGTGAAATCATTTGTGACGCGGCGTCTCGCGGGAGCGATGGGTGACCATGGAAGGAAGTGCTGGATTTGAGTGAGGGCGTGAAGGAAGATGAGGCAGGACGTGTCGGACGTCAGGTCTCGGTTCTGAGAGTCCTTGAGAGACGAGATGCAGTGCTAGATATCTAATTGACGCGAAGGAAGAGAAGGGAGTAAAGCTCAGACAGGGAGCTGGATCGAGTAAGACTGACGTCAGCAGCGCGTACACCCCGACCACCAGACCGGTCGAAATCGCTGAGCGGAAGCTACCCCGACAAGCACCAACTGATAGGATCTTGAATAAGACCAGGAGACTAATGGAACCAGCTCAGCTCAGGTCCAATCCAGACGCAGTCTTCGCTTTGTTGCACCATCCTCAGTAATCTGCCGCAAACAGCAGATAATGCATTGTATCTCTGCGAGCACTTGCCGATCGCTTGTGCTTACATCGACATCCTCTCTATCACGTCTACCTTGCCCCGAAATCTTCCTCCACCGTGCAGTCACCATAATCCAACCCTCACTCTCGCGCTGTACCAGTCTTTCGAGTGCAGATATCGAGTACAGACAGACGGAACACAGTCAGACGCCAGAAATCAGTTGCGGTGCCCCAAAGCTCCGATGACCTTGCCATGGTAGATTGGGAGACGCGTTTGGAGAGCGGGGAAGGGTGGGAGATTGTGGTTCGGAGCGTCTGTATCTCTGGATTCCACTCATGCACGCGAGTCTTTCACCACCGCAAGCCGCGCCATTTCTACAAATATGGAAGCTTCGCGCCGATAGCACCTTGCGGAGACATCCTCCCTCCTAGAAAACGCACATCCCGCCATCGCAAGTCC